AAGCACAGTATAACCATTGAGGATATTTTTTTCCCTGACAAATATCCACTTATCAGCTATCACAAATAACAGATACAATTCCTGACCCACAACATCCATGCAGTAACTTTCACCATTGCACAAGGACATCAAGCTCTCCTGTACTTTGCTCTCACTTTCCACCCAAACTCATTTGCACGGCTACCCAGAAATCACCCTGGAGCTGAGCTCTCACTGCAGTTTTTCCACCACATTTTAAGTTCTTACTAGATCTCCCCACACACTCCCCAAAGCATCTATTTTAAATTCTAGAGACTTAACTAGCTTTGAAGCCTCATTATGAATTTGGCCAGCCCTCTCAGAAGTTACTGTACACACAAGGACACATCCAATATATGGATAAACCTCACATCTGTAACAGAAAAAAACAAAAAGACTAAACTACTTCTAGTGCCACCTAGTATGGTCCAAGCTAAGGAGTTTTGGTTATCAAAAACAAAGCACCACACCTTGCTCAGTTTGGTTACTTCCCAGCTCTCCTCTTTCTGAGAAAGCAAGTGCCCCTCTCTACAACTTTGTTCTTTTGACTGCACTGCTCAGTCTGCTTTATTACCTGATTTCACATGCCTGTGTGAAGTTAGCTACAGAACCAAAAGGAACCTTGATTTTTAAAGACCTGGAACATTTAACTGATACTCAAGTTCATGGCACACCAAATCAACAAGACTAAACAGCTACTACCTGTTCCTGAACACCTGGCAGAAGTAGTTGACAGTGATCCTTGCCACTGTCTTAGGCTGACTCATGATACCATAAAGGAAAATGCCCAGTGGGACGTGGGGAACTCACAGAAGGTGCAAAACATCCCTTGAGATGTTTCACCTGCTTCATCAGAGTAATCCACAGCCTTTGGATTTTTTGAGGGGTTCAGAGAAAACCTTCTCACAAGAGCACTGGATAACATTCATTCTTTTCTCTGTAGCTAATTCATCCCCCATCATTAATGGGCCCTGTGGTGATAACCTGTGGCCATCTTGCCACCT